GGGTCTCGCTGCACTGCCCAGGCTGCAGGGCAGTGATGCAGTCATGGCCTACTGCATCCTCAACATCCTGGGTTCAAGCAGTCCTGTTGCCTCAGCCTCCCAAGTACCTGGGACTACACACGTATACCACCAGACTGGGCAATTAAAAAAAAATTTTTTTGGCAGAGATGGGGTCTTGCTCTATTGCCCAGGTTGGTCTCAGTAGTTACGTTTTTATTTTTGTCTAATTAACACACTCATGCTTCTCTCTGTCTTCATAAACATAAAGCACAGAGTTAAAGTAATTTTTAAATTGTCTACTGATTCTGTTGTGTCATTTCTGGGTCAGCTTTTACTGATTGATTTTTTTTCTCTTTGGGTTGTGTTTTCTTGCTTCTTTACATGCCTGGCAATTTTGATGAATTTGGCAGACGTTGTGAATTTTACCTATTGAGGGCCTAGATATTTTTGTATTCTTTTAAATATTCTTGAGCTTTGTTTTGGGATGTAGTTAAATTACTTGAAAAGAGTTTGATCCTGTTCAAACGGCTTTTAAGCTTTTTTAGTGGGACTGAGCAACCTTTAGTTGTAGAAGGCTTTACCCAGTGCCTCATGTATTAAGCGTTTTTCCATTATTCTTGGCCTTGTGTGAGCTCTGGGTTTTGTTCCATTTGCTTCTTTCTAAGATTCTTTTCTCACCTTCAAGTTTTCTTATATGCATGCCTCATGTACTGATCAAAACTAATCTGAAGATTTGAGGGGAACTCTGCAAATCTCTGGTGCTTTCTCTGTGCAGCTCTCCTTTCTGGTACTCTTACCTGGGAATTTTAGCTCTGTGCATTCCAGCGCTTTCTCCTCAACTCAGACTGCTGGGCTATGTTTCTCCCTTCTGCTACAGCCTGGAAACTTTCTGGGCATTTACAGGACACACTTCATTTGTTTCTCTTCTCACGAGGATCACTGTTTTGTACTTTGTCCGGTATTTGAAAATCATTGTTTTATACTTGTTCATTTTTTTAGTTGCTTAAGATGGGAAAGTCAGTCAGTCTTTTATTTTGTTATGGTTGGAAGCAATTGCTTGTTTATAGAAAGCCATTGGTATTCTAAAATACTGTTAATTATCTTATGTGCCCATTAGGTGAAGTGTTACCATCCCAAAAGGCTTATATTTCAGTCCTTCTAAAGGTGCTCATATTACAGGGTGATTTCTAAATTACTTTTAATGACCATCTGAGAACACATAGGCTTGAAATGTACCCTACTCAGTGCCACCTGGATATTTATAGATACTTAGAGAAGATGCAGTTAGTGTAGAATTTAACACAAATTGAATAATCATTCCTGAGTACGGCCTTACAACCTATATTAGATATATGCAAGCTTTTTTGAAGGCTTACTAGGTATATTAAAAAATAATATAGTAAGGGGTTACATTATGAAGGTTATAAATATATGCCTACAGTACAGGGGAAAATTGGCTTCCTGTTCTGTGAATGAGCACTACAGTTTGAGTATTCCTTATCCAAAATACCTGGGACCAGAAGTGTTTTGGATTTTGGATTTATTCATATTGTGGTAATTTCATCATACTTGTTGGTTGAATATCCCTAATCTGAAAATTCAAAATCTGGAACGCAGCTGGGCATGGTGGCTCACGCCTGTAATCCCACCACTTTGAGAGGCGGAGGCGGGTGGATCAACTGAGGTCAGGAGTTCAAGACCAGCCTGGCCAACATGGAAAAACCCCATCTCTACTAAAAATACAAAAATTAACTGGGCATGGTGGTGATCGCCTGTAATCCCAGCTACGTGGGGAGGCTAAGGCAGGAGAAGCTTGAATTTGAGAGGCAGAGGTTGCAGTGAGCTGAGATCGCGCCACTGGACTCCTGGGTGGCAAGAGTGAAACTCCATCTCAAAAAAAAAAAAAACAAAAAACCCAGTAACAAAATCTGGAATGCTCCGATGAGTATTTTCTTTGAGGATTATGTTGGCACTTAAAAGGTTTTGGATTTTGGAGCATTTGGATTGTGGATTTTTGGATTACGGATACTCAATCTGGAGTATTAATTTGGGATAAATGGTCAAGTGACATTATAGTTCAGAAAGGGCAGTATCTTAAACAACTTAGATGTTTGAGGCCAAATAGATTAGATAATTAACAAATGGTTGTAAATCATGACCCTAAACATCGGAGATGAATGTGAGGAGTTTGACTAAAATTGTTTTCTGAAATGTGACTGGAATAATATATTAGATGTACCATTTTAGTAATGTGTTGTTAAATAATTATATGTTAACTGATACATTTAGCTATTTGACTATTTAATCTTCTTATAGGTTTATAATTCAGTTGGCAAAACTTTTATTTTTACTGGGAAAATGGAATGTCTAATTTTCAGGGTTGTTTCAAGCTGTTTTCAATTTTGTAATCACCTGTAGTTTACATATTAAAAGACCATTCATTAATTCCACAAACATTCTGGCCACCATGCTATACCCCAAGGTTTTGGGGGTAAAATGGTAGGTACATGAGACATTCTTCTCCCTCCCTCCCCCACCGCCAATCTTGCTCTGTTACCCAACCTGGAGTGCAGTGGTGGGATCTCGGCTCGCTGCAATATACACTTCCCGGGTTCAAGCGATTCTCCCACCTCAGCCTCCCGAGTAGCTGGGATTACAGGTGTGTATATCACCATGCCTGGCTGATTTTTATATTTTTAGTAGAGACAGGGTTTTACCATGTTGGCCAGGCTAGACTTAAAATGCTGACCTCAAGTGATCTGCCCACCTCGGCCTCCCAAAGTGCTGGGATTATGGGTGTGAGCCACCACTGGCCTCATGAGAGATTCTTGAGTCTTGTCCTCTTGGACCTTAGAATCTATTGGATTTAGAAACCGAAACATAGGCTTGGTATAAGTTCAAGGACTCTTAGAAGCCACTGAGGTTTTTATTTTACAAAAGGGGAAGTTGAGACCCTTTCCTCATCTCCTAAAGAAAGTGCCTACTTAAGTTACACCGGCTGAATGATATTTCTGACTTGCTGTAGTGATTTTGAGCCTCTTCTATTATGAAGTCTGCCAAACTTAGGGATGCCTGCCCTCTCTGGGCTAAACTACTCTAGATGTCATAAAAATTTCACAAGAGAAATTTCAGAATACTAAGAGAGCAACCAGATAAAGGGTTTTACATAACTCCTTATTTTCCTTCACAAAATGCAATGCCTATTCAATACTTAGATATTACCCACACTGTTTTCAGTATTCTACTTAAAAATGATAAACTTTATTTAAGGAGAAATGAGCCTTGAGCCTCATATGAGCTTTACTCTTTTATGTTGGGAACAAATGATTATTGTGTGAGTGGGGTGGGGAAAAGAGTACTCAACAGAGCATGTAATTTCCGGGCTACATCCTGCATGGTATAAGGGAAGTGTTGGCCCATGATGAAATTTACGGAGGTACATACATGTGTATTTAGGTCTGAGAGGAGAAAACAAACCATTTTTTCTCTCTACTCTCAACATAGCACACTTCTGTGACTGGATGTATGAGGAGTTTTTTGTTTGGTAAAGGTTTTCCAGTGGACACCCACTGGGTGTCCTGTAATTCAATTCTGATACTATCTACTTAGAGATAGTGGTAGTCTCTAAGTAAATACAATTCTGGCAGTATCTACTTAGAGACAGTAGTACTCTCTAAGTAGATAGTGTCAGATCCCACAGTTGGGGGTTCAGCCCCACAAGACTGTCCCCACTTTACATATAGTAGATTGTGACCTATACTTCTGACTGACTAGTTATAAATTGGGGTTCGTTCACACGACCCGCTCCTTGGGTTTGATTAATTTGCTTGGATGGCTTTGAACTCAGGAAAATGCATATACCAGTTTATTAGAAAAGATGTTATAAAGGATACAGATGAGCAGACAGATAAAGAGGCACATAGGGCAAGATCTGGAAGGGTCCCAAGTGCAATAACTTCTATCCTGGTAGAGTTGGAGTCCTCAGCCTTCCCACCATGCTTTTGCCAACCCAAAAGCACATCGCATCTTGTTAAAAGAGTTTTTATAGAGCTTGATCTCCAGCCCTCCCACCCCTGCACCTTTCCTGGAGGTTGGTGGGTAGAGCTGAAAATTCCAACCCTATAATCCTCTAATTTCATGGTCTTTCTGGTGAAGAGCCTCATCCTTAGGCTTTCTGGGGGCCTCACTCTTAAGTTACCTCATTAGCATTAGTTGTGATCCAAAGGGCTAAAAAAAGACCCTCCCATTAGGAATTTCCAAGAGTTTTAGGCACCCTGTGACAGAAAAAAAGACCAATATATTTCATATTATACCACAATAGATATATAGCTGTAACTGGCATTTATTGAGCACTATTGGACTATTTATTGCCACTGTTGACTTAACAAGGTCGGCATTATTCTAAGTGCCCTGTGTGTATTATTTAATCCTCACATAACAGCCCCATTAGGTAAAGTAAGGTTAAGTCCCATTGAACCTGTCTCAAGTATATCCTGTTAGGCTTTAAATAAAAGACTGTAATCTGATACATGCCAATGATAGTAATAACAACATTGATAATACTTACTATTTGATAGGTTCTACCAAGTGATATGTATGTATTAACTTCTTTTCATAATCCTTACAGTGAAATTTGGTTTAGTCTGAAAGTTGTTGGTGCAGCCCATGTGTATTTGAAATGTTAGGAGGAGGAATAGGGTATAAGAGGCAAGTAGGAACAGTTCAATTGTTTGAACTTGAGGTCATTCATAATATCTGTAAACTATGAGGGAACTTTGTGGACAAAAATTACAGATAATACTCTTCCTTACTATGCATTGAAAACTTTTTTAGAAATTTTTTTGGATTTTAAAGTTTTTTACAGACAGGGTCTCACTTTGTTGCTTAGGCTACAGTGCAGTAGTGCAATTACAGCTCACTGCATCCTCAAACTCCTGAGCTCAAGCCGTTGTCTAGTTTCAGCCTCCCAAGTAGCCAGGAATACAGGTGCAGGCCACCACATGTGGCTAACCTTACTATGGCATTTGTATAGGGGAATGTGGCTGGAAGCTTATGATGCTGACAGCCAGCTATATCCCTCTGCCATGTCCCCTGTCTGTTAGCCTGTCTCCAGTCCTAATGATCTTGGAGACAGGACATGAATTCACAAAGTTAGTTGGCTTCTGGGTTAAAAACGAAGACTTCTTGAGGAGTTTGAAAGGTTATATAGTTATACTGTCTTTTTGTGGTGGTTTTCTTTGGTTGGGGGGAATCAGTGAAATGGATTTAGTAAGGCAATAAAGTTAAAATTTGCCTTCATTAGTAAAATGTTACTTATTCTTTTTTTTAGCAAAGAAAAAGAGGCAAGTTTTAGATATAATATTTTAAATTATTATATTTTGTTTTTCCTGCTCCCCTTCTCAAAAAACCACATGGAATATTCCATTCATTACTGCTCGAGAAAGTCATTACTTTGCAGGCTGCTGTTGCTGAAATGGTTTAGTGGAGGAAATGTTTCCTGGCATATTTTTAGTGATTTTTTTTTGGTAGTTGTCATTTGAGTATCCAAACTGTAGCAAACAAAGAGAAGCTGATTTAAATTTATATTGGGGAAACCTCTTTGTGAAGCATTTCATCAGATGATTTCCTATCAACCTCATATCTTGAGAAGACGGATTAATGAAACAGCATCTGAAGAAGGAGTGGACTCTTGTGGAATAAGCCCTGACATCTTCCACAGTGTTTTGTGGGGTAATTTCAAGTTCTTCAGATACAGATTACATAAAGAAGATTGTAGGGCACGTGACAGACTCTGGTTTCTTGTATTTCAGATAGTAGAAAAATTGCTACCTCTAAGAATGGATCCTGGAGCCATCTAGCTACAGTTATAACTTTTTCATTTATGGTTTTATCTCACAACTCTATTTTTATTTACATTTTTTGTTCAACCAAGCAACTTAAAATAGTTTGGTTTTTGTATAAAATATTGTAATGGTAAAGTAATGGATTGCCTGTGCATTGTAACCACAAAGGTAAGATATAATATGCTTTTCTGTATTTCACTGTTAGTGACAGATGTGAGAGACCCTTTGTTAACTGTGTAGTTTAAAAATAAGGGGTAACCATTGTTATATATTTGAAAATATATATTTGAATCCATGTGATACTTAGTTTATATCCTTTGGAAAAAGCAGTATTTTGAAATGTGTTTTAGATAGCTAAAAATGTGTTGCACAGAAATATTTTTCTCTGAGATATTCAGGAAGCCTTTTTCCCAACAGCAAAGGTCTGTAAAGCCTTGATTATATTTAAATCTTCTAAACATATTCTCAGAGTTATTCTCCTCCCCTTTATTTCATGTCCCAACATGCCATACTAGTTAAACGTATAACTCATTTTGAGAACATTTTCAGGATTCTTCCATCTATTGTAGTTATAGTTGATTTTTTGTGTTTTTTTAGAAAGAGGAAAATAGTCAGGTGCTGATTGTGTTGCTGTTAGATGTTGATTTGGATTTAAAATTATTAAACTTGTACAAGTACTCCATGAAAGTACTTGTTTTGAAGTCTGTTTTGCTCATTGTCTTCAAAGTACAGCATGCTTCACTTAATCTCTAAGTTTGTCTTCTTTTATTTTTGAGCACCAGTTTGCAGACATTGTGTGATGGTGTTATTATAGATTCAGTGTGCTTACATTTAAAATGTATTCATTGGTTTTTAAAATATGGAATAATTTACCTTTTTTATTTCTATGCATTTATGATGTCTCATAGTGATTGCTAATTTAAAATCTCAAACTTGTTGAGATTTTAAAATTATGTTCAGTAATACAAGAGTAGGTAAATTTGTAAATTCTGAAAGTAGGCTATTTTTCCTGTATAGGGAATTATTTTTCATAAGAGAAAAAGCAGGAAAATTGTTTTTTTTTCTTTTCTTGTTGCTCATAGAGTTCTAGTTCAAACAGTAGTTCATGATTGGATACAGACATGCCCATTATCTGTTTCCATCCCCTGTTTATAAAGAGATGTCTTCTGTGTACCTCTAGGTAAACTGTCTTGTTGAAGTATTCTTAATGAATGTTTAAAGGGCACATAAGCCTGGAAAACAGGGTTGTTGTTGCTTTTTACCTCTATAATTTTTTTTCATGTTTGTCAGTGGTTGGTTCTTCCCTGTGATTTACCTTTTATCATTTCATTCATTTTGGTTTTATTTCCAATACTATAGCAAAGTTATTTGAAATGATTCATCTCTTCTCTCTGCTCGATCTTCCTTGATAGACTGAGAATTTTTTTTGCATTGACCCTTTTTTAGCAAAAGAGGGTCTATTTTGCTTAAAAAAATTAGATGTAATCATTACCCTAAAGTATTTATAAATTTTTATTATGTAACTGTTAAAGCAAAAATAGAAAATGATGTAGGTTGGAAATTAGAAGCCTAAAACATTGTTTGTAGTTGCTTTTGAAAAGCTAAATTAAAACAATTTGTTCAATTATTAGAATATACCCTTTGTACATATTTAACCAATAGCTCTAGCAGGAAGAGCAAAATTCTTGATTTTCTTTTCAACTAAAGGCTGCAGTGTGAACCCTATCCGTTATTCGTTTCTCCCTTTTCTGGTCTTTACAGAGCTTTGTGATTTTATGTGTTTTAAAAGTCTGACAGTGTAGTTGATGTAATTTTATCATGTTAATACTAAGACACCTTTCCAAATGAGTTTTTTTCATCATCCGCCTCCCCTCTCTCCCACTTGTGTAGGCATGGTGAACTAGGTAGGCACGTTGCATCATTGCTACCATGGATACCCTTAAGTACAGGCATGTGGGTTGAGCTAAAGCAGTGATGGTTAGTTTTTTGGTTGTTCCCCCCACCCATAACTATATGTTCTTCACAATGAAGACTCTTATTTTAAAACATTTGCAAATGACAAGGTTGTGAGATGTGATGACTAAATAATCACTGCTATTGAACTGCCAAATCTTAGTCTCCATTTACAATAGTGTTAATGGCATTTACTAATTTAAGACTGTCATAAGTAGCTCTGCGTTCCATTTCTGATTAATATATTTTAAACACAAATGTAATTTTTGTTTTGTTTTGCCCTTTAGTGAAAATGAAAATGAAAATGTACTTCCTCTTTGAATTGAAAAAAATGCTCTTCTGGATTTAGATATTTTATGGGGGGAAAAGATGCTAGTGAGCATTTCTACCATGGCAGTATTTCTGATTATTGTTTGTACGCTTACATACATTTTTATGTACTTTAATCAGCGTAGATACAGTATTTTGTGCTTTTCCACATAATGTCTTTCTAAGAGATTTAATTTTGTGTTTGTAAGTTCTTGTGTTCTTAGCTAGATCCTTTGTAAATATGTCAGTTGAGGCGGAGTTAATATTGTTAGTGGCCAGGCAGAGAAGTGTCATTTTTGTCAGGCTCGTAATCACTGTAGGAAAATTAACTGAGAGCATAAGAAGCCCAAAAAGAGTGATTTAGGATTATTGTTATATGTAGTTTATTTTCTTATGTTAGCAATAAAGTACTCTGCTTTAACTAGAGCTGAGGGCATTCGTGTTCTTTATTATAGAGGTTTCCCAGCTGTCTAGTAACTTCTGAGAGTTGTGTAACTTTAGTACCAGAATTTCTTTCTTTCTTTTTTTTTTTTTTTAAATTGCATTTTAGGTTTTCGGGTACATGTGAAGAACATGTAAGATTGTTGCAT